ATAAATAAAATCTTTAAAAAAAAATAAAAAATAAATAAATAAATAAAATTGCATGTGAGAACTTGTAAAGCAAATAAACTGGTTACATAAATCATCGTGAATGAATTTTTAAAACTTAATGCTGAGTTAAAACAAAATTTGTAACAGAAGATTATATACAGTATGATTCAATTTACATAAAGGTCAAAACCAGGCAAAACTACAAATAAATACATATATTACATAAAAATCTTTAAGAAGGAGGGACTAGTAGATAATGTCCAATATCTTGCTAGTAACTTTTCATGTGCTTATCAAGTACTGAACAACTATCAGAAGAGAGGGAGCAAATAGTAGTTGGCTCCAGACCTGGAGAGAGCACTTCATGCAGGCTGCGGTCTGTCATTGGGGTTCTGGAACTTGGGTGATTCCAGGGAGCTCAATTTCAAACTACTTTTAAAGTCCATATGAGGAATACCATTGAAAGAAAATTCAGTAACTTATTTGTACCATTAGGATAAATAATCAGAAAAATAAAAACTTTTAAAAGAAAATCCAAATTGATCTTACATGGCTCCAGTTTTGAAGATAGGGCAAGTATATTCTGCCTTGAGCATCCACATGTTTTCCAACTGAGATTCCCATATTTGCAGTTGGCTTTAAGAAGCAAATGGGGGGAGCAAAAGGGTGGGAATCCAAAATCCACAAACGAATTGGTATGTTATATGTATTACCTATGTGAGACAAAGTAAACACATTTTCAAACAATGATGAAGCATACACATTATATTTGTATAGCTAGGTGGCATTTTAAGATATGTAGTCAAGTGTATATATAAAGGATTTATATAGATCAAGGCCTACTTCTCCATTTTCATGTTCCCATTAAAGCACCAGCATAACACTTGAAGAAATTTAAGACAATGACCAGCTCATCCAATTCAATTTAATAAATATTTACAGGACCTACTGTGCCAGGAATTTGGGATACAGCATCTTCTTCTTTTTTTTTTCTTTAAAGATTTTATTTATTTATTTGAGAGTGAGAATGAGAGAGAGTACATGAGAGGGGGGAGGGTCAGAGGGAGAAGCAAGCTCCTCGCTGAGCAGGGAGCCCGATGTGGGACTCGATCCCGGGATTCCAGGATCATGACCTGAGCCGAAGGCAGTTGCTTAACCAACTGAGCCACCCAGGCGCCCGGGATACAGCATCTTCTTGATGTAACTTTCTTTGCTCCACCCAAGCAGAGCTATCGCACCTTTCTTGAAAGGTAGTGGACACTTCTATTTTTATACTTATTCTGCATTGAAGTGATTTGCCTACAGGTCTATGCTTCCTTTCACATTGTAAACTTCCAGAGGATTATGTATTTTTCATCTCTATAACCCCGGCACCAAGTAGAGTGCCTAACATACTGGCTGACAATAAAGGTTTCTTATATAAATAAGAGTGAATGAATAAACAAATGAAAAATGAATGAATCAACAAAGATGAATTCAATACATTTGATACTGACTCTCAGGTTGCTCATTAAGTGCAAATGAGCTGGGTTAGATACATAGAACTTGGAGCTGAAAATAACCCTAACAGTGACCTCGTCCAGGGGTTCTTAAATTTCAGCGTACTGAGAGCCAGAAACTTGAGTGCGTGCTCTTCCAGTGCTAACCACCTACACGTATCATGCCTACCAAGAGCAAAAATCTCTGACGGCCCTGGATGCCAGGAAGCCAAAAGCTAAACCTAATAAAAGTGTAAAAACTAAACTTAAACTAGAAATCTGATCAATTACCTTAGCTGTTCTACTGTATTTCCTGATAGTCATTCCTGCTTTCATAGTCTTACTGCGTGTCTTTCATCCCTGTATTTATGAATACAGCTGTTCAGGAGCAAGAATGCCTAGGTTCAAATCCTAGTTTCACCCATGACTAGCTATATGATTTTAGGCAGGTTCCTTAACTTCTCTGTGCCTCAATTCCTTCCTCTATAAAATGGAAATAATACCTCCTACCCCATAGGGTTGTTGTGAGGATGAAATTAGTTAAGGTATGAAAAATTCCTAGAACAGTACATGACATGGTAAGTACCATGAAGGGTTGGCAATTTTTGCAATGTACCTCAAACCCATTTTGGAAATAGGCCAGGTCTAAATAAAAAGTTTTATTTTCCACTGCAGTCCTTTTCCTACTAAGGAAATCTTCCTTCCACTGACAGCTACTTTTCTCATCTTGCTTCCTCCTCTAAAGATACAAGGATACTCAGCCCTTTCTCACATTAGAAGCACTTAAGAAACTTGGAAACATACCAGTATCCAGGCCACTCACCCAAAGTTTCTGATTCAATGGGATGGGGTGTGGATAACATTTTTTAAAAGCTTCCCATGTAATTCTAATGTGCAGGTAGGACTGAAAATCAGTACATTATAGAAACATCCTAATACTTGTGGGTCTATTATTTTATATCAGTAGTTCTCAAAACCACACTCCTCTTCTACTTTTGTCTAAGTCTTAAAACAATTTTTTAAATTGAGATACAATTGACATATAACATATTAGTTTCATTGTATAATGTAATGACTTGATATTTGTATATATTACAAAATGATTACTACAATAAGTCTAGTTAACATTCGTCACCATAGTGTCTAAGAATTTACAATTTCGGTATAGGCATAGCAACTGATCCAAAGATAATTCTATGATTATAAAGTCATGTGATCATAGCACCACAAAGTGACTGACAGGTACTGAGACATACCATCAAATTACTCCAGAAGTAGTTACTCTGTCGAATATTATATACTCTCTAGAGTAGTGTTTTTCAAATTGTGGTCATGATAATTAGGTCACAAAATTAAGTTAGTGGGCTGCAAACAATATCTTAAAATGGAATTGAAAATAAAATAAAATATATGACAGGTAGTATGGTGTTTCATATATATATGCTTATAATGTGTGTGTGTGTGCACGCACGCATGTGTATGCTAGCTGTGTATATAAAAGTATTTATTGTGCATCACAATCAAAACATTTGAAAGCCACTGTTCTAGGCCATGCAAATTTTTTTGTTTCATAATATAGTTGTAGTAGGCCAGATCCTGATGGTGCCACTTTGTGTTAATCACTACACATTAAAGAAAAGGAAAGAAATGTCTATTGATGGTATCTTTCTAATTGATCAAGGATCTGCTGCCTCCCTCAATGCCCCTCCCCAGCAGCGTCCATGCATTTTAATAGCCCATGCTTGGCAAAGCAACTGGTGAGCCTGATTCCCGTGTCTAACTGGTAAGATTCACTACTGGCGTTCTGTTCTCGTCCTTCCTTCCTTCTTTCCCATTCTTTTCTGTCAGCAAATGCCCTGCCTCCTACCCTGCCCATTTAGCTTTCAGTAATTCATCACCAAAGAGTCAGAACTCCTGGAAGAGTCCTCAGATCTCAAGTAATTACATCATAAAAATATAATTTAAGTTAGGGGGCGCCTGGGTGGCTCAGCCGTTAAGCGTCTGCCTTCGGCTCAGGTCATGATCCCAGGATCCTGGGATCGAGTCCCGCATCGGGCTCCCTGCTCGGCGGGGGGCCTGCTTCTCCCTCTCCCACTCCCCCTGCTTGTGTTCCCGCTCTCTCTGTCTCTGTCAAATAAATAAATAAAATCTTTAAAAAATATATATATATATATAATTTAAGTTAGCTGTAAATAAAGTTCAGATGGGTATCATCTTATTAAGATGAATACACATCTCTAAAGAATGAATGGATGAAGAAAAAGTGTCATCACAACCTTGACACAATCTTGGAGAGATAATAAGAAATAATCTAGAAAATGTCAGCAGGTATACGTAAGGAAATATCAACGGAAGATTCATCAGGGAAACAGAACTGGGTGGGAAGTTAGTTACAAGCTTAACTTCATCCTTTCTCAATTGTTTACTTTATTTAGCATGAGTATATATTATTATACTAATAAAACTAGGAACTGGAAGAAATATAGGCAGACAAATAATCACGGTCAACATTTATTAAGCTTCTATTATGTGCCAGGCATTATGCCAAGAGCTTATTTATAGTAATTCATTTAATCCTCATAGTTCTAGAGTGAGGCTCTATTATTGTACCATTTTACAGATGAGAAAGCTAATACATTCTGACCTTTTGATCAGCAGGAAATAAATAGTGTGGATCACACTGAATTGATATAATTCTACTCAAAAGCAAAGAAAAAAAAGAGGGTACTGCAAAAATAAAGGTACTGCAGGTACCGTTACTACCTTGGAAGACCCAGCGTAAGAAGCAATGAAATAACTCGTTGGCTCTTGGAGATGCAGAATGCCAATGAGGGGCATCATACCAATCATATTAAAATAAGTTCAAAATAAAATAAAGTTTTATGCCCTCCTCTTACTTCCCCACACTGTCCTTCAAACTGAAATGCTACTAAGCAGTGATTCACTTAAATTCATGAGCTTCTCTGTTAAGATGTAACTACCCTTGACATCATTGGGGTGGGTAAGAGTTGGGAATGAATCAATCAACCAATCAATCATTGGGGTGGGCAATAATTCTCTCTCTCTCTCTAGCATCTAATCATAGTAAATGGAGAACACAAGTAATGGGAAACAGGTCTGAGTAAGGTTCTCTAGGCAGCCAGAAAAGAGTCTGAGAGCTTGGCAGGAGAGGAGCAAGGAGGAAAATAAAAATCAGTTCTGCAATTTCTGCAGAGCTCACTGTAATCTACTTTCATCTCCAACCACATTCCTATGTATAAAAACCAAACTGAATTCCTATGCATTTCCTGTGCCAAAGGAGATGTCATGGTGGGACATGAACAGAGGCAGAATAAAACATGAGTGCACCCCGGCCAATGAGTCATCATGGAGGGGAAGAAATTAAGAAGGGTTTGTAACAGTCTAGGGACTACTGTAATGAAGCACCTATTTTGAAAAAAGTCCCCCGAAATTTAGCTTCTTGGTGTCTTTTGAGCAGTGTATTCCCACTGAATCTTTTGTAAAGGAGCAAACTCCACTGTTCTCTCACCATTTGTTTTCAGATCCTCCTCAGCCCTTTTTTCAGGGCGCCTCCTCTCGTATGCCCAGCAAATTCACTTATTAGTAATCAAATAAACAAACTCAACCATTCAAGAAATATTTATCAAGCATTTTCTATAAACACAGCACAGTGTATTAGTGATTTTGGATAATATCCTTCCTGGGATTATTTGCATTTTAAAAGAGGAATAAATTTTTAGTTGTGGAATTTCAGGGAACCCCTTCAGAGAAGTATATTAGAACCAATGCTTCGCTGGTGTTCTTTACATCATACTATATAAGCAATCACCTATGATGATACCTATCTGAAAGGTTAGTCCTGTTGAACACTGATAGAAGTAGGTCTGGACAAATAGGAAGAGTTAAGTATAGGGGAGCTAGTGATTTTTTGTTTGTTTTTTGGGGCAAACAATTATTTTAACCTGTCAGGCCACCTGAAAATATGTTGCTTTCTTTGAGCTGTCATGGCCCCAAATTTCCTACTGGAGTTTCAAGTTATAGCCTGATACCGCTGTGTGGTCTTAGGTAAATCACTTGACTAGGCTAAGATTCAGTTTCACCCATAGAATGGGGACATCATACAGGCGGAAAGGGAGAGGAACAAAACATTGATGTAATGGAGAAAAAGGTGTGATCCTTGCATTTTGCTATGGAAAGCAACAAGAACTCTCCCTAAGAGCAGGCCTATGTCTGTGTAGGGGCCCAGGGCAGGTTGCCCAAGATGGGCACTTTGGCATAAAGATTATCTTGAGTTAAAAGTAATCGAAACCCAGCAGATGGAGGAAAAGCTCTCTGCCTCCCTCTCAAATGCCTATATTTACACTGGAACAAAGAGTCTCTACCAGGAAGAGAGCTCTTAAAAGAAACTCCCCTTTACCTAAAAAACTTATCTGCATAATAGGGCAACCTTTATTTTTCCAAGCATCTCCTTTTCCTTCTTGCTAATGGTCTTTCTCCCTTTTGTGTCCACAGGCCCCTCTCCTCTCCTTAGCTCATATAAGCTTCATGTTACCCCACTGTCTTTGGAATCTCATGTCTGTGTGCATCCCCCATACGTACGCCTATTCAGTTTGAATTTCTCCTTTGCATCTGTCTAATGTCAATTTGATTCTAAGTCCAGTTAAGGGCACAGGAAGGTCTTCCTCCCCAACATCTGTCTTACCCTCCTCTGTACATTATCCCGTAGCAGAGTAGTGGGCACAGAACTGACACCCAGTAAGTATTTGTTGAACTGAATTGAATTTGTTGATATTAATCTAGGCCACAGACTAGACAGAACAGCATTCTGCTATATCCAGTAAGGTTCTGTACAGATCATATACATGTGAAAATACTTTGAGAACGTTATAGAACTAAACAAATATAAGTTCTTGTTTAATGGCTCTTTTACAAAATACCCACATTTTCTCAACTGCCACACTTACCCTGATACATCACAGGAATAGTGCCAGTGAAATTCAGCAGGTCTTTCTGGGAACTATCTTTGAACACTGGAAGAAAAAAGAGCCCCAAAATGTGTACTTAAAAGTAGAAAAAACAGTATTAAAGTTTGTGCATGCACATACACACGTACAGAAGCACACATAATTTCTAAAGTTCATCATCTAGGAATCTATAAATATGTTGACAAGGGGGAATTACTAGATATTGTTTTCTTAGAAAGCCAAGAGGACAGTTGAAAACCCACAGGGCTTTGGTATAGAAATCCCAGGTTCTAGGCCTACTTTTCTCACGCAGACACATGCAACTTTTGGCTACTTCAATCTCTTTGACCTTCAGTTTCATCGTCTATAAAATAAAGATAGTAAGGCTGCATCATAAAGTTGTCATAAGGGTCAAATGCGATAATGTGAAAACACATCTAAGAAGTTTAGGATTATAAAATGTGGGGATATTATTAAATAATTGTCACGTGTAACAAATCAGTTATAATCACTTTCAGATACCAAACTATAACTTTATAATCAGAAAAAAAGTTAGCTTTATTTTTTAAAGTGACCTTTTTGGAAGATCACTAATTATCTTCTTCGGTTTCTCTAACTCGATTATTCTCAACCTTTTTTACACCTTCATGTCCCTGAAACTTCGACTTACCCATCAATGACTGAGATACAGTGGTGGAGAATTAATGCCCTCATCTCTGAACTGAATACAGAAAACACTACCTCTGGTTTCAAACTACCCAACTGCCTCGGAAGGTAGTCCTCTTAGTACCTCAATAACTATCCTATTTAGGCGGTGGGAGGAAAAATTCTAAATAAATTTGATGACCTATTAGAAAGGGAAAAGAGGAAACCAGGCTGACAGAAAATTCAAGGCCAAAAGGGTACATAAGCACAAATGTTTACCTTGAACTATATAAGTGAAAGGTAACAGTGGGTAAAGGGATCATTCCATGGCAAAAACTAAAATGGAAAAGAGCAGTGGAACAGGGGTTATTACTCAGGGACACAGAATAACTTAGAAATGTGGCAGAGAAGCTGTAGGTATAAATATACATTGTCTAATCAAATTATTCAAAAATCCAAAATAGAAGTGATTATGACATGTCTTCAATAATAAAATGGACATTGACAGTATTCATCCTATAGCTTGAGAGTTTAAGGGCATCATGGCTCGCTTTCTCTAAATGGAAGAAATGAGAATAAGAACTAACTGGTATAATGACGTTTTAAGTCTATATGATAAAGAAAGACACTTAAAAGAACAGGCCGTATGTGAACGGAGGGCAAGACAGACATATGTACAAACCCGACTCCATCCCTAACTTCCTGTGTACTTGAGCAAGTTATTTAAACTCTTTGAGGGGTTATGATTCTTACCATAGGTGTCCATAGAATATCTGAAATGTGGGAAAAACATATTTACATTCTTTAGTTCTTCCACAGTGAGATCTCTGAACTTGTACTGAAAAGAGAAAAGTGAGAATGGAATAAAAATAAAGCTTTACGCAGCAAAACAATTACAATTAACCTTTAACAGAACACTCTGCACTAGGCCCTGGGCTCTGAGTTTTATGAGCATGAATAGTATGTGATTTAATCCTTTCAATAAGGACCCCATGAAGTAGGTAAAAAAAAAAAAGACAGGCCATAATAAAAAAGACAATTAACAAGTACAGTAGAGGATGTGGAGAATCAGGACCCCTGTATACACAAGCCGCAGTGTTAGTGAGAAAATGGTGCAGCTGCTTTGGAAAAGTTTGGCAGTTCTTCAAAGACTAAGAATGAAAATGCCTTGCTGAGTTAGGTAGCAAGTTAAGGAGTGAAGCCAGAGCTCAAACTCTGGACCTGGGCCTTTCATCACTAAATCAAACGGCCTCCAAATACTTCCTGAAGGCTTAAGAAATAGGACAGGAGCACCCACGTCACCATTGCTCGAGATCCAAGTCTCATTCTTGAATACCTCACTCACTTGAGACACCTTGAAATTTCCCTCCCAACCCTCCTGGTACTTCATCCTGGTTTCAAAGGAAGAACAGACAGCATTCAAGGATTTGCCATCCAGGTGAGTGAATTGCCTCCTCATTCATCCAGAAATACTAAGCACAGAGCTACTGTATGACCCCAGAATTCCACTCTGAGGTATATAACCAGGAAAAGGGGAAACATATGTCCATACAAAAAACGTGTGCACGATTGTTCAAAGCAGCATTATTCATAAAAGCCAACAAAGGAAAACAAGCCAGATGTCCATCAACTGATGAATGGATAAATACAATGTGTATATCCATAAAATGGAATATTCAGCCATAAAAAGAATAAAGAACAGATACATACTACAACATGGATGAACCTTGAAAACGTTATGCTAAGTGAAAGAAACCAGACACAAAAGGCCACATATTGTATGATTTGTATATGAAATATCCAGAATAGGCAAATCCATGAAGCAGAAAGTAGATTAGTGGGTGCCTAGGGTTATGGGAGATTGGGAGGAAATGGGGAGTAACTGCTAATAGATTCTGTTTTCTCTCTCTGAGCCTTAAGCTTTTCATCTGCAAAGGAGACATAGCTCCACCACCTACCAACTTCAACAGGTATGTATGAGGACCTTACGATTAACACATGTAAAAGTGAGATATTAAACAAAAACATATACAATAGTAAGTACAGACAAGAAATGAAGAATCCACATAAAGCATATCCAAGTTAGAGAAAGGCCTCCAGGAACAGCTGTCTACAATCCACATTAGAGTCTAGAATGGTACAGAAAATTATAGAGGGAAGGGAGATCATTTTAAGATGGGAAAGAATTTGGCAAAAGAAAAAGCCTATGATTATTAACAACTTGAAGGCAGGAATCATCTCCTATTCATCTCTGTATCTCTGTATCTCCCCACAGGGTATGCCTCTGATAAATGTAGGCTGACTGGATGGGAATTAGCAAAGAGGCAGACTTAAATGAGTAGAGTAGAAACAGAAAGAAATTATGATCCATAGGTGTGGGCATCGAAACTAAGAATTAATCAGTATTAACTACAGCAGCGAGAAATGAGGCCCAGATTCAGGGTCCCTGACTCAGTGTAAACAAAAGTGAGTGAAATCATCCCACAAATGTACAAAAGGCTACACTGTTGTCACCTGGAATATTTATTATGAATGAAAACAACTTTTATTTTGTTTTCTACTTAAAATTATAAGCTGTTTTTTCTAACTTTAATGTCCCGTGAGAATGTGATTAATGGCTACATAGGGATACACACCAGAATTGATTTAATTGCAAAACTGCTATAAAAGTTTGTCAAAACAGGGCAAAAGCTCTCTTCCTTGGGGCTTGAATACCCAAATGTCACTACTAGTCAAATACGTGATTTGCCTTTTTGACACCTAAAAGAAAAAAGACCTATTTTGTCTTTCCTGAAAAAAATGTTCACATCATTTGCACTATATATGACACAGAGTATCTTCTTAGTATAACATTAAGGCATATATTCCCTTACTGTTCTAATACCACCTAAGAGAAGTCTACATAACATTCTCTAAGGAAACGTGCCTCAGACTATGCCATGTACTTAAAGGGTGCGGGGCATGTCACTAAAGAGGAAAAGTGGCCTGGGAGATTCTAAAACCAAAGCAATTATACTGTCACAAAAGTTAGTAACACTGGGGTGCCTGGGTGGCTCAGTCGGTGAAGCCCTGGACTCTTGATCTCAGCACAGGTCTTGATCTCTCAGGGTTGTGAATTCAAGCCCCATGTTGGGCTCCATGCTGGGCATGGAGCCTACTTAAAAAAAAAAAAAAAAAAAGTCAGTAACACTGAAAAATTGAGAAGTTATTAAAATTTTAACTTTATCTGCTAGATTATGTTTATTTAGTAGACTTATATTTAGGAAGAGTGTATAAAAGTACTCTTACATGACATATGCTCAAATGTAGGACACACTGAGGAATACTTTGTGACATCATTTCATTAAAAAACTTAACTGGAGGGCGCCTGAGTGGCTCAGTCGGTTAGGCGACTGCCTTCGGCTCAGGTCATGATCCTGGAGTCCCGG